ATTAGTTCTATTTTCCCTTTTCCCTTCTATCCTATTCGTTAAAGAAAAATATCATTTATGCTATGCGATTTAGCCTCTGTACTTCTTACTCAACAAAAGAAAAAGAATTTTCTTTTAGTTCACAATTAAATCTCTATCTCCGCAATTCCGTACTTTACGTTGCGATTTCCCAATGAATGCAACCTTTGATACGTTCTTAATCGCTTTATTTACTTATTCTTGATTTATTTAGCATGTTAATTATTTATATGGTCCTTGAAGTTTTCAGTTAAGGTTATGATTTCAATTATTGTTTATATTTTGTTGTTGTTCTTTTATATTGATTAAAAAAATAAACATATGATTTTATGGTACTAATTTCAACTAGCCCAATCAAAAAAAGAATCCTGGCTCCGTCATTGGATGAAGCTATGAAAACGCAAACAGGGACGTAATCAAATTGGTTAGAACACTATTCTCTTTCCTTTGCACCTAAGTTTGAATATAGAATATCGCTTATATTAATAATCTTACGTGCGAAACAAAATGTACCACATGTCACATTCTTATCCCAAGAGCATACACATTATATGCCTCCTCTCACACAGCTAAATCTTATTGTTTCTTTATCATGAAGTCATTAGATCTCAAGTGATTAATTGGTTAATTAATACAGGACAAGCCCATCATGAGCTGATCACACCCTCTTAATTATTTTCTTCTATTTCAGTTCCACTTTAGATTATGCAATTAAACTAATCTCATTTTTCAGACGGATGAGGATCCTCTCCTCTTTGTGGGGATCCTAAGGATCCTCATATTATGGTCGTTCATCGTACATTGTGTCATCAGTTTTCATTAAGTACTATTTGTGTTTAATTTTAAATAAATAAATTTAAAATAATTTCTAACCGCAAGATGAACGACTAGGATATGAGGATCCATATGATCGATCCTAATGGGATCAATCTCCTTGTCAGACAAGTTAATTAGTCCATCGAATAATATTTGTCTAATGCTTTAACAAGATTTGCCATCTCTGGTGCAACGTATGTATGCATAATGCATTTTTTAATTCTGGGTGGTGCATTTTGAGTAACACGGACTCACACTTAACAGGTACACGTGCTCACGTACTTGTAATATTAAAGTATTAATTAAAGTCGCAGGTTTGTTTTAAGCAAAATGATTAGTTTAAACTTGGGTGCTTAATTACCTCCTCGTCGTCAATATTGTTTGTTTCCTTGATTGATATATGTTGGTTGATAATGTTATAATTATACTAGCAGGATCCTCACCGGATCCTCCAATCATATTTGTTCATCGTACATTATGCGATCATAAATCATTGTAAATTTTTTTTATTTAAAATTGAATATAAACAGTATCTAACAAAAATTGGTCTCACGATATACGATGAATGGATGTAATTGGAGGATCCCTGTGATCCTCACAAAAAGAATCCAGCGAGGGTCCTCTTTTATAATTATATGGTGGTTTTGTAGTTGAAATGTCTTAGATTATCCAAGCATTGCTTGCACAACTGCCGCTCTATTTTTTTGTGTGGTATTTAGTGGCGATCTGATTATAAATTTATTTAATACCACGAGTGGTGCTTAAACATTCCCTTTTTTGGTTTAATTACTTTAATTATGCCCTGCCTAACTCATTCGTGGAGGGTGAATACAAGGTGAACTAAAGTAGCTGGTGTTTCAAAGCTTATCAGGTTGGCTTCCGAGTTTGGATGTGTCTCTCGATGCATGTCCTTATAGCCAGGCTCGGCTTATACCGTATGAAAACGGGTTTCACAAACAATATTGTCGGAAAGGAGGATCTCAAATGTCAGGGTAAATGCTCCAACTTACAAGACCTTAGGGTTTCCAATATTAGTTAAGAATCAATGTCCTGCTGGCCAGCTAGCCTCTGTTACTTCACATCGATCCTCGACCACTACCAATAACCTCAATGCCGTTGTCTCACCAAGATTTTCATAATCCATTGATCCTTGACCAGAATTTCTCGTTAAATTTCAAATACAATATTATGGGAACATAAAATGATGGCCAAGCGTATCTAGCAGAAAAGAGAGGGCAAGATTGGTTTTGGTTGTATTGTTTGAAAAATCCAAAACTGCTTGCATAGGCTTTTATAATTAAGCCATTTGGATAGGATTGTACTAATCAATCGGTCTTCTTTCTTTTATAGTTTTCAAGAATTAAGATGGTTAAATATATATATGCCAGCCTTCTCTTTCCTGTAAGTTCTTGAAACAAAAAAGGGAAATAACTTGTATATATTGCTGCTAGGTTCTGGAAATGGCAACAAGAGACATCGTTTGGTGGCCTATAATTCAGTCGGCTGGATAACTACGACAGAAAATGGTAGCTAAAAATGATCAAGTAGGCAAATCAATAACGAAAAAGTGAAAAACCCCAAAAAAACAAAAGCAAGAGGCAGGCACAAATATTGCGACCTGCAATATTTTCTTCTTGTTACATCATTTTTCAAAGCAAAAATGATTGAAGTAATAATTCCAAAGTCCCCACTCTATCGTTAAAAAAAAATATTGGCTCGATCTGAATCAGAAGGTGGCCTTTAATTAAGTTGTGTAGAATTTTTGAACCAGGGCCACTCCCAAAGGCCACATAAAATTGTATGAGTTTTTTAGGGACTCAGTGCTGTTTTTGTCTCTGTGGACACTACAAGAGCCATACGGTTTTTATCTCCATTAGTGAAAATGACTGGTTTATTTTTTTCTTGCATTTCTCTTTTTGTTATGTGTTTTGATGGTGACTGTAACCCCAATTTCATACTTAGTAATATTCAAACAGGTAGATTTGGAAGTGGGGTGAATTAATTATTTACCACATGCTTCACATTGATTCTTAAAAGGATCCATTAACTGATTTGGACAAGCATTTTACCGGATCCAAATTGGATTAATTTTTTGCTGTAAGATTAATCAAAACCTGCAAACTATATTACAAAAGGAGATTGAGATTCTATAAAGGTCTCGATGTTGCATGAACCAATCAGATATCGTGCCAAATAAAATTTTGATTTGGGTTTCATAAGATGAACTAACTAACATTATTCAAGGTTAACCTATCACACTCCAGTCCGGTGCCTCCTCGGCGATTTCTACCAAGCTTCGTCACAGCTGCCGCCGTAGCCCTATGTGTAATTTGCGTGATGTTGCAGACATTTCGGTACAATATTCCGATTGCACGATGACACAAATACTAATAGTACTGTCCAAGTCTTTCCTTATGCACGCCATATATAGTTTTGTTTGCTTTGCTTATGCTGTCAATAGTAATTTGCTCAAGCGAACAAATGTTCTGATTGCAATGTGAGATTCTCTTTCTTTCATAGTCAACAGAGCCAATTTTAAGGACTCGAATAAAATGATGAGCCAATGCTTGGACGCATACTTGCATTGAAAAGCGGGTATGCATGGGAGTTAACGAAAAACTTCAGCCAAAACGTCATTAGGGAGATTATCGATACTGCTTTGTTGATGTTGATGATGGTGTTGACAGTGACGGTGACGTTTTTGATATCTTCGGGTGATGAATATGGTCATCGGAGGTCGGCATTTCTGTGGGGGACATACGACTCGGATCTGCTCCATTTGGTAGAGGTAACACCTCTCATGGTGCCAGAAGCATGGAAGACGGCAGAAAACAGTAAATATATATCCAACAATACATTCGACCAACATGTTCATCATATCCAAATCGACATATAATTACGTACCAAATTGTGTTTTCTTCTAATTAGAGATTTATGTTCGTCGTTAAGTGCTACTTAATTCTGACTGAGCCCAACTTATAAAAACCTAAGCCCACAACAAACATATGAACTTAATACCCGCACAAAAACAAAACAAAACAAAAAATCCATCCATGGCAGAGGGATAAAAAGAGAAAGCATATCGAAAGTAGATTTTGATTTGAATTCATAAGATGAAAATTACATCAACAAATGCTTACGAAAAATAAAAAAAGAAAAATTTGCAACAGATGAATATGCCAATTATCCCACCACATATCACATCCAGTATGTGGCTCGTCTCCGCGGAGCTTTGTAACAACTCAGAAGCACTTGGTGATCTTGCTCCGCCAAGGTGAGGCAGCGGTCCAAGTTTCCATGAATGCAGTCTAAAGTTCGGCTAATGCGATTAGATACATATTTTTCGGATACCTTGAACAATGCTTGGACACATACTTGCATTGAACAGGGATTTGTGAGGGAGTAGAGAAAATATTTCAATCAATACATTGTCAGGGAGATCATCAGTTCTCGATGATGACAATGACGGTCATCTTTTTTGTCTTTTCGAGTGATGAATATGCTTAGAGGCCGGTATTGCTTCAAGGGATGACTGGGATCTGATGCTTCTTTTGGTAGTAGTATCAGCTCTCATGGTGGCAGAATTTTGAAAAGAATTAACCGATGTCTAGGGTTATTACCCACCCAAACATAACGTCATGCATTGTAAATAGGCTTAAATGTCAAAATAGTCCTCATTTTTTGCCTGTTCAGTCAATTTAGTCCCCAATTTGTCAATTTCGCCACTTTGATCCTTGTGTTTACTATGGTAGACAATACGGTCAATTCCGTTAATTTATTGTTAAATTTTTCATTTTGAACAATTAAACTCTAAATGTTTCATAAATATAAAAAGATCAATTTAATTTCCTGCTTGTTTTAGGATTAAGCCCTTATATACAGATGTCTCCATGGTCAGTTGACAATTGGCTAAATATCCTATTTCAACTAGGATTAGGATTTCTTTCTATTTCTATTAGGATTAGGCCTAATTTTCCTGTTTGTTTTGGGTTAAGTCCTTGTGTATAAATACACAGATCTTGGACTTGGTGGATCACATTGGTGAGTGAACAAATTTTCTAGCATACTTACACGCCTTAAGAATTTTGTTTGGAGCCCTTTTCTTGGTTCACTTTCCTCTACAATTTTCTACATCCCTACCAGCTGATTAGCCTGTATCATCCATCATGTCACAAGAAGGTGAAGTTTTGGGAGGTTCGGTGAAGAAGCGGAAGCTGGACGGGGTGGGATCTGCCGAGGTTCTGAGTCCTCAGCCGCTGCGGCAAGTGAGAGCCCAGCAGAGCTGTAAGCAGTTTTGGAAGGCTGGGGATTATGAAGGAGCTCCTTGCAGCGATAATCATACTTCTGCTGCTGGTGAGATGGACCGTGTTAGGGTTCATCCCAGATTTCTGCATTCCAATGCAACAAGTCACAAGTGGGCTCTCGGTGCTTTTGCCGAGCTGTTAGACAATGCATTGGATGAGGTTTGTAGTGGTGCTACGTACGTTAATGTCGATGTGCTTGAAAGCAAGAAAGATGGAAGCAGAATGTTGGTGATCCAAGATGATGGCGGTGGTATGGATCCGAAAAAGATGCGACACTGCATGTCGTTGGGGTATTCGGTGAAAAGCAAAGTTGCAAATACTATCGGACAGTATGGAAACGGTTTTAAGACGAGTACTATGAGGCTAGGAGCAGATGTGATCGTGTTTTCGCGCTGCGAAGGAAAAGATGGAAAAAGCAATACGCAGAGCATCGGGTTGCTGTCTTACACGTTCTTGAAGAGCACGGGAAAGGAAGACATAGTAGTTCCCATGCTTGATTATGAGAAGAGAGGAGGAGGAGCTTGGCGCAAAATGTTTCGATCCTCCGAAAGTTCTGAAAGTGATTGGAAGAAAAATGTGGAGACAATAGTTCAGTGGTCGCCATTTTCAAGCGAAGAAGAGCTGCATCATCAGTTCTTAATGATTAAAAACCATGGCACCCAAATAATCATATACAACCTTTGGGAGGATGACGAAGATCAGTTGGAGCTTGATTTTGACACCGACCCTCATGATATTCAACTCAAAGGTGTCAATCGAGACGAGAAGAATATACAAATGGCTCAAGATTATCCCAACTCGCGGGTTTTCTTGACCTACCAGCACTCGTTGAGGAGCTATGCATCGATTCTCTATTTGCGGCTTCCCCCTAACTTTCGGATCACCCTTCGTGGGAAAGAAGTTGAGCACCACAACATAGTGAATGATATGATGATGTCCCAGCAAGTCACGTATCGGCCAACCGGTGCTAACGGGATCCAAACAAATGCAAATGCGATTGCTGTTGTCACCATTGGGTTTGTAAAGGATGCAAAATCTCATATCGACGTCCAGGGGTTCAATGTTTATCACAAGAATCGACTGATTAAGCCGTTTTGGAGGCTTTGGAATGCTGCAGGAAGCGACGGCAGGGGTGTTATGGGTGTTTTAGAAGCTAATTTTGTTGAACCAGCTCATGATAAGCAGGGGTTTGAGCGTACAACAGTTCTTTCGAGACTCGAGAAACGATTGATAACGATGCAAAAGGATTACTGGAGTACTAACTGCCACGAAATTGGGTATGCTCCGCGACGTAATAAGAAGATCATTAACGACTCTGCAAATCGTAAAGAAACCAGTCCTGATCCTCCATCTAACACGGAGGCTACCATGTCAGGCAGCAAGAAGAGACCATTTTCGGGTCGTGATTCAATCGCATTTCAGAGTGTTGGTTCAAAAGCTTCCGAAAGGATCACCAACGACAGAGTCCAAACCCCCAAGCAATCTGGGACATTAGGATCATCAAGGTCTTATGAACCATCGGCACCACCTTCGGCAGCCAACGTTAGCGGTGCAGGCATGCATGTTACCGTGTCTGATAAGCAAGTGGGTGGCAGACATCATGAGGGATTTGCTGCTAAAGAAGACTCTGCAAAAGATCGCCCACGTGTTGCAACTCGGTTATCTTGGGCAACTCGGTTATCTTCACATACGGAAGCTACTGAACAATCTTGTTCACCAAGTAGCCCAGGAGCTAGTTCACTGGACGGTCATGATGTCAATGGTGGGCGTTCCCGCTTGGAGCGTGATCGAGTTGTAGGGGTGCAGCAATTGAAAATAGCATATATCAAACTCAAGAAAATTTTGGAGATAAAGGATCAAAGGTGCAAGTCACTTGAAACTCAGCTCCTAGCGTCACAACAAAAAATTACAGAAATGAACAATGAACAAGATAACCTAATTGGCATATTTTCCGAGGAGAGGGAGCGTCGAGACAAGGAGGAGAAGAGTTTGAGAGGGAAGCTGAAGGATGCAACATATACCATTCAACAATTGGAAAAGCAACTCGAAGCAATCAAGTCCGCCTAAGTCTAGCCTCGTGTTCACTACGTCTTTAGTTAGGACTTGGAAGCGAAATGTATGTAGTTTGATCCGAAATGCAGTGTAATACTTTAACGTAGATCTCATGTATTCATTTTTCGCAATTTGAACAAATTTCAATCTCAACAGTACAAACATACTTCTTCAAACCAATTTTCATTAACCCTCTTGCAAGGTTGGTGCATAAACACTACTAAAAACTCAGGTAACATGAAAAGCAAAGCAAAATTTATAATACTGAGAAACTCCCCCAAATTAACAAAAGCTATAAGATGTTCAAAAGCATTACAAGCTTCATTTCATCGTGGGATATAGGACTGCCCGAAAAACGCATATTTACAATTTTTACATCTAGCAAAGCAAGATTATATATATATCTGTATAGCATCTTAGAGAAACTGTTCAAATCCAATCTCAAACCTGACTTGTAAATCCCCTGGCTCACCACGAGCAGCACTTTCACGCTTGCTCCTTTCGTAATCGGGATCATCGGTGGGCAGCTCGTACCTACAAACAGGGCATGTATTCCGAATGCCCAACCACGGCACAATGCAATCATGATGGTAGTAATGGCAACAGGGCAAGCTTCTGACTTTATCCTCCACCAAAATGCTGTCTTTACAAACAGGACAAACCACTTCTTTTTTCTTCAATTCTTCGACTGTAAACTCTACCAATGGAAGATCCTTGACCACGCTTAAAGCTGCCGGAGGACGGCCATTCATGGCATTGGCATTCTCCACGAATTGCCCGAAAATCGTGTTGATGTACTCTGCAGTCTCTAAGTCAAGATCGTCATCATCGGCGAACCTCCGAAAATTGTTGACTATTTCCCACTCCAGGCTTCGTGCTGCTCCTTCGGGAGCCTCTTCTTCCGCGGTGAAAAACCCAGAGACCACTGATAGCTCCTCCACTCCGCCGTCGACCGGATTACTCTCGGTCGATTCAGAACTGTCAAGCATATTCCTCTGCTCCATCAAGAAAAGGTTATCCCAAATTGACTGGATACCGGAATCGGTGATCCGATCACTTTCTATGTCATCGATTGTACCCGAATCCGAATCCGATTCCAACTCCAACCCAACAATCCGAAGCCCACCAGCTCGCGAATCAGCTCCTTGTAGACCTATAAACTCCCCCAATTCAGAAACCGATCCCATAGAGTTTGACCCAAACCCTAAATTCGACTCCGTTTCGTCGCCGTCCTCAACACCCCCAATTTCCAATTCGGTCGCAAACGGATCCGACCGCGAACCCGAATCGACAACGCAGTTGGTATTGCGCTGCTGCTCCGAGCTGCTGCGGTCGAAAAGATCGGTGACCAAGCAGCTGACGTCATGGTCAGAATCGGAGGCGGCATCGGAGAACCAATTGCGATCGGAGGTGCTCCGGGAATCAAGAGGATCGGCGGCGAAGGGATTGCAGTTGTGGTTGGCGCAGCAGTGGTTGAGGGGATCGATGAGGAGGATTGGGTGGGTTCGCGGGTCAACGGGTTCATTTGTTGGTTGTGGGTCGCCGGGTAGCTGAGTGGTGGCGGAGGGCTCAGACATTATTTTCGAAAATTAATAATGGAAATTAGAGGAAAATTTTTAGTTGGTGGCCCTTTCAGTTTATATACTCTGGGATTTTCTTCCCTCGTTTTTATTTTATTTTTATTTTAGGGATCTTATCCAAAAAGAAAAGTATGCACAAACATTTAATTAAAAAAAAAATTGAGTTATTACTAATTACTACGATCTGGTAGTATTCTTCTTTACTTGTAAGTAGATGATCTTAGGTTTGAATATCGTGGACGGCAAATTCGATACCTAATTAAGTTATTCATTGTGTAGTTTTACCAAATTGTCGTTATTCTTAATGCAAAATATATCGTTGTACTCAAAAAAGAAAAATTAAGTTGACTTTTGGGAATTATATTTGTTTTATTTTATATAATACAAATACATATTGGAGAAAGAAATTTGGGAATTTTGACTATAAAGCTTATCTTTTACATACGTTGATTCTTACTAAGAATTGAGATGAATATAAGGGGTTTTGTATCATTTTCTTTGTCTTCATTATTTCAAGTAAGAAGTGTTGTCGTGGCAATGAATTTAGTTTCGATTTTATTTGTACATACGCTAAGAATTGAGATAAGTTGGATTAATTAGTAAAATATGGATGATGGTGTATTACTGAAGAATAAGCCAAAAAAATAGTAAATTACTTAAAAAGTACATATATGATGTATATAACACATTTTCGATGGGTTTATAACTTTATATAAAAAAAAAAAGTTCTTGATTTCTAGTATCTATGGTTGAAAACGAAATATTTCTTTCTGAATTGGACTATTCAGATACCTAATTTTACCTTCTAGATCTTGCACACCATTGTTAGCATTCGATTGTACTTATAAGCATAGAATACGTCCTTGACCAACTCAAATACTTGTTCATATCAATCTTGGCCAGAATCAAAGAAGAATAAAATAATTAAGCTACTAATTAAATATAAGCTCCAGCATACACAGTTCATTAAACTTTAAGAGAGGCATTGTCCAGGTTTCGGTCCCACCCCTTTCTAATAGAGGCTTTGTTCCCAACATGATCCTCTCCAGATCATTTTGATGAGAATTCTGAAGATTTATAAATTGTGTTCGTTCATCGTATATCGTGTGATCATTTTTTGTCAAGTACTGTTTGTATTTTATTTTAAATGAAAATATTTAAAATGATTTCTGACCGCACGATATACGATGAACGACCACAATTCACGAATCTCCGAAATCCTCACAAAAAGAATCCGTCAAGGATCTGGATTCGCTTTGTCCGGGTTTTGGACAGAAAAACCTCTCCTACCACGAAAAGAGAGTCCACCAATACAAGTAGAAACCGTGGATGGCCTGAGGGTAGTGACAAAAAGCTTCTTTATGATATTTCTGGCAAGCTCACCGAAGAAAAGCTCAAGAAAGAGTTTGCAAAGAAGTTTCCAGTGTGTTTTGCAACCGTTTTTTTATTTATCTTTTTTATTGTTTCTACTACCTTTATTTATTTGATCTTATTTTTTTTTCCCTAAGGTGTTATGGATTAGTCAAATGTATTGTGCATATAGAGTAGCACTGGAGCATGCAATGTATATGTTGACAATTAGTGGATTTAACTTTTGAACATTACACGTTAAGAGTGGTTTTGGTTAATTATATAGACCCATATCTTACAGTACCAACACCAAAGTGACCCATATCTTACAATACGAATACCAGAGTGCATAATACGTAAGTGATTACAAAAATTTACCAAAACCACTCATGTAATGTTAACAAATACAAATCCAACAAGTACTCACAAGTACTCCAACAAGTACTCAGGTAAATCTTATCCCAAATATAACAAATACAAATCCAAAAATAAACATTTTGAAACTAATAAGTTTTATGAAAAACCCAAATCCAATAAGTGGAAGAGGAAACCCTTTGGAAAGATCCACTCCAAAAACCCAAAACAAAAAGGAAATTGCTACAAATGTGGCAAATATGGCCATTACGCCAATGATTGTCGTGTTAAGAAAACCATTAATCAGTTGAAGATCTCTAAGGAAGAGAAATTTCAATTAATCCAAGTCTTAGAACTTAGGAACACAGACAATAGTCAATCAGAAGATGATTTGGAATTATCCTCTTCTGATAATACCTCTTCATCCAACCTTTCATCTCCCAACATCAAGCTAGGATGTACCAATGCTTGCTGTAATAGTATTTCAATGCTTAATAAGCAAGAAGAACAAGAAGATCTTCTTATCGAACTAATAAGTAAAGTCGATGAACCTGAACTTAAATCTTTTTATCTTAAGAAACTTAAGAACTTAGTTTCTTCAGACGAACCCGACACTAGCCAGCCACAGCCAACTCGAAAAATCTTTCTTAGCACAACCTTAGAAAGGTTTAATAAGACTAAGAAAGAAATCACAATCAAAGATCTTCAGCAAGAAGTTAATAAAATCAAAGACGAAATTATGTTTTTAAAGTCCGAAAACCTAGAAATTCATACACACCTCGTACACACCTATGAAGAAGGATTATGAGCTAGTTTGGGTTTGTTGTATGAATTAGGATGGAGGTAGGTTTTATATAGACTAAAAAGAAAGGATGAGGTTGTAGATAATGCCACATTGCACTACATGATTGGTTAAAAATCTTATCAAAATCTATTCCAAATGATTCTAAACATATGGTGACACTTGGTGTCACATCCCGGCCCGGGGCGGATCACTTCCCGGGCCCGCTCCACCACCGTAGCACGATATTGTCCGCTTTGGGCTTACCATTCCCCTCACGGTTTTGTTTTTGGGAACTCACGAGCAACTTCCCAGTGGGTCACCCATCATGGGATTGCTCTAGCCCTTTTCTCACTTAACTTCGGAGTTCCCATGGAACTCGAAGCCAGTGAGCTCCCAAAAGGCCTCGTGCTAGGTAGGGATGGGAATATACATATAAGGATCACTCCCCTGGGCGATGTGGGATGTCACACTTGGCGCGACGAGATTAGTTAGCGAAAATCTATCCATAAAATTCTTACAGAATCATCATGACATGTGGTGCTACGAAATTGGTTAAAATTCTATCCACCAAAATTATGCTTTCGAATATGACATATAGCATGACAAGATTAGTTAAAAATCATCATATCCAAAATTAAAAATGAAATTATTATTTTATAAAAAGAATTTAATAATATTTTAATACGAATTGACTAGATTATTCAGTTTATGAGTGGAGATGCATTTGGTTAGCTACTATTCATTGCTGTTAATAATCAACTATTCATTTACGTGAATTGAATTGACTCTTAACCATGGAGATTTTAGAGGTGGAGTTGCTCTAATAGAGGCTTTGTCCGGGTTTTCGGGCAGTAAAACCTCTCCTGCGGTAGGGAGAGTCCACCTGTGCAAGTAGTTTTTTTTTTTGGTCAATCATTTCCGAAAAAAGGAAATTTTTAATTCATAACCACTAGTTTACATAACAAAGGCCCACATAGACACAAATATAGACAAAACAAAATGGAACCTTCTACCAGCATCGCAACAGTGCTTCAAGATCAATCTCATTCAAGTGCCACTGTAGCATCCCACATCACCCAGAGGAGTGATCCTTATATGTATATTCACATCTTTACTTAGCACAAGACCTTCTCGGCCCCTAAGGGGGGTGGATTGTAACATCTCACATCGCCCATGGGAATGATCCTTATATGTATATTCCCATGCCTACCTAGCACGAGGCCTTTTGGGAGTTCACTGGCTTCGGGTTCCGTAGGAACTCCGAAGTTAAGCGAGTAACGTGCGAGAGCATTCCCAGGATGGGTGACCTATCGGGAAGTTCTCGTGTGAGTTCCCAAAAACAAAACTGTGAGGCGTGATTGGGGCCCAAAGTGGACAATATCATGCTACGGTGGTGGAGCGGGCCCGGGAAGTGGTCCCCCCTGGGGCGGGATGTGACAGCCACAGAAGCCACGCCGATCGCATCCAGAGATTGAAGGAAGGTCGTGGGATTACTACAAGCGACACTGCCAATATCGTCAAATAGAGAGAAGAAGGGATGTTGTAAACACTCGAGTCAATGTGACTATGGGAACTCTACGCACCCTCTCGAACGATCGCAACAAATTGCGTTGAAAACTGACTGCATTGCAGAACGAATTGAAAGTGGTAGGGGAAGATGAATGTCTATGAGGTGTGAATGACTGGGTCAATTGGGAAGCATAGCGGGGGAAAAGGTAGCAAAAGAAACAAAAGGAAGAAACAAAGATAAAACTAAAGGAATTAAACCTTCATATACATATACAACCTTATACGTACACACATATAATGAGAGAGAGAGCATTCCGATATTACCAATCAAATTAAGAGATTTCAATTCAGTGGTTTTCGGCTAGTTCTCCATTCTTCTTGATTCGGAAAATCGATTGATATGGAGGAGCGTTTGTAGTAATGCTTGGACCAGATAAATAAACTTGGAATTTAGATAAAAATCAGAATTTATAAATTGACATACACCAATTCCTCTGTTTGGATTCGTAAACATAGGAATTTAGAATTCTGCGTGGAAAAAAAAAACTTAGAATTTGGGATCTTCAATTTCTAAGTTTAAATTTCATGTAATAGGTGTCATTTTCTAATTTTTATGATTGAGAGTTTAAAAATAACAAATTCCATATACAATTCTATTGTTCTTTTAGATTAACCAAACAAGAAAATTCATAAATTTTAGATAATAAAATCTCATTAATTCAATTTCTATCATTTTAAAATTCCTTAGTAATCTTAAATTTTTTCACCCATCCATAACCGAGCATAGAGAGTAAATTACGGTAATGTATGAAAATACATGCAAAAAGTATAATTATATTCGCTTTGTCGGAACGCTGCGTTTCGCCCAATTTACTGGTTTGACTTTGACCCTCTTTGAATTGCAGTGAAAATTACAAATGTAAAAAGGAAACAGTAATTCGGTAAAAGAAAAGGGCACTGCATATGAACTTACCCGCCAAAAATGAATAGCGCAGTGGATGGCTGCTGCTCACCATCTCTCTCCGATTTGGTTAACCAGAATCGTCTCCTTCTCT